TACTATGATTTTTACACTATCCACATTTTCTTTCTTGACTGAATTTTGTGAGTATGTAAGAAAAAATATATTCGTGTAAGATCGTGTTAAAATCGTCTCTATAAATACTATCATAATATCTAATTTTTATTATTAAGAATTAAAGATATTGATAATTAAAATTATACATTTAATAGACTCGATAAATAAAACACGTCAAGTAAAATCGAACATAAAAAGTATTAATTTATATCTCGGTGATTTCACTTGTGTAAACTAAATATCTAACATTACGTAGTTGTAGGGTTGCAGTCCCGTCCTACCAAGAATATAAAAAGTAAGCATTCCATTTTTAGACAAATTATTTCTTGTTTGAACATAATTATACACGAGATTTTCCAAATATAATCATTTTTGCTTAACCTAATGTGACCTATTTAGCCGATGGTAAGTTGGGAAATGGCCAAAAACTTTGGCCATCGAGCTTTTCATGAGCTTTATGCGCACAATTTTATTATGTTGATTTGACAATTTCGTGTTTCTCCATTATGTAGCATAGTTAATTACTCAACATATTATGAATTGAATCATAAAAAAATCTTAGTTTTCCACTGCCCATAATAACTGTCCATACCCATAATGCATATATATCTGATCTATTGCATATAAACTTGAATTTAATTTCTTTATGATTTTCGGCCAGTATAATACTTAATTAAAAAGTATATTGAAGTCTTGGATTCATTAAGATATTGTCTTGATACTACTCAATGTACAACATAATCATGAAAATTTTATGATCATAGTACAATTCATCAATATAGACAAATCCATCTCTTCCAAATTAATAATCATGAAACTTCTATGATTGTGGCCATGGTTTTAAAATTAGCTTAGGATCCTGAAAATTCTAATGTAGTCTTATGACTACCATAATTTTTTAAAATAGACAGCTGAGATTATTTTCTTTTTGATTTATTTTTAATTAGAAATTTTAATTAAAATCATTTTTAATTATTTTATAGATTTTTTTTTTCGAGGATTTCGAAAATATTAAAAAATAATATCTAGAAGATAAAAATATATTTAAAATAATTAAAAAATAATTTTTAATTAAAATTACTAATTAAAAATAAAAATCAAAACAAATAATCTCAGCAGTCCATTTTAAAAAATTGTGATAGTGAAAAGTCATAAGAATACGTTAAAATCATCTAACACCTCTCCAAATCTTTTCTTGAAATCTTAAAACTCTTTAATTTACTCCATTATGCATATTATAATACGAAGTAATTTTTACAAAATAAATAGATATTCCAACATTTAGTATATTTCTAGCAAGTCAAGAATTGAAGATAGAGGATTCAACTCAAATCAATGTTTTATTAATAGATCAGAGTATGCAGTGAATAAGTTATATTACGGTGAGTTAAATTGTGTTTTTTTTTTTTTTTTTCCTTTCAGAATAAAAATTTCATCTTTTTTAATAGGAGTACATACTACATAGTGAGGGGTAACATATGATGAGTTAAAATGCATTTTAAAAGTAAACTTAATTTGCAATATTTCTTATGAAAAATCTTCATCATCACTATCCTAACTTTTGCTTCATATTAATATTTTTTTTATAATTTTAGGTAAATAAATTAAAAAAAAAAAAGCGCTTCTATCGCACCGCAACCTCGCACACAACACCTAGCTCAGATTAGCATGCAAGGCCGGTCCCTTTGGGGATTACCCTAGCCAACTTAATTACTACGGAAGAGCTCAATATGTATCTAGGGTTTTTTAAAAGTGCCCTTATATCATTAGTTGGTGTTATAAGAATCTTAAGATATATATACTCCGTAGTCCGTACTATAACCAAATATTTAAAATTGATCCGCGTATATATGATATACACTCATGCATGCAGAGTATACATGCATCTATAGTCTATACTCTATACTAGCTAGCTACTCCGTAGTAAAGGGAATCCTTTGAATTTTGTCTTTATACACGGAAAATAAGAGTTTATTGGGAGATGATTCAATGTATTGTAAGAGGGAAGCAACAGTTTTCCATCAAGTAATAGATCATCTGCAAATACCACCCGTGCACCTGATAATTATGATGCACTTACCATTACTCTCTCATATATATCATGATACAACAAGCCTGCTGTCATGACTTCACATGCTTTCATCACCTCAAATAAAGGACAAACAAAGTTTATGTGAAATAAATAAATCAAAGACAGTTAAAAACAGAAAACAAATATTCCCTTCGTCCCTTTAAGTTTGCCCCAGTTTTTTCAATCTATACTATTTTCTCGACTAAGTAAATGATAAGGGCAACACCAAAGGCCAAAACGAAAATTGTCGAGCTGAACCTAGCTGTGGGGCAAATTTAGAGCGACGGAGGGAGTACCATAATTAAACAATGGACCAAATATATTTGTGGTACAATGATGGTGGAAGAAAATTAGTATGCACTACTCTAAGCTAGTTTGTGAATGTGCATGATTCAGGGGCATCTCAGGGCCACGGGCAACGAAAGAGGACGACAGTAACTATGCCACACACATGCATGATCACACTAATAATCAGCCTTTCAGGTGCTGTGCATCTGTATTTTATGTCCCCCATTATATATATTTATATTATACACGTACACTAGGCTAAATTAGCTTGTTTATTTTTATGTGTATTGCCTTGTAAATGCTGTACTCGTATATTGTCTTACCACCTGAAAGAGTGATTCAATGATTCCCTTCCTTTTTCATGCATTTTTGTTTCACTATTACATGACTCTTTTTTAACTTATTATATGCATTGTGTAATAATAATACACCATTATTCTATTTTTTACTGCGTATGCACTTGTTACATTACATGGTCCCTCCCTTCAATGTGAGTTGTTGCATAACTTGCATTATATTATATTGTTCTCCCATGTTCTTGCAAGATATGCTATGGTTTTACTGTTAATACGGAGTTACAGGTGTTAGTACGGAGTTACAGGTGAGATATAAGTATAACTAATGTTGCAGTAATAATCGTAATTAAATTGTTCGTGAGCTTCATTATTCTTGATCCCTCGTGAGCTAATTCATTATTTTTTTATCTCCCTTAGCTTGGCCTTGTTCCTTCATCCGATATGATAACAATTTACAAACTACGGACTAATACTTAACTATTAAAGCTAGATTTGCACACACTATTTGACAAACGTTGTATGTGTTTAGTTCATTTGTATTAATAAGGCCCATCTGATCTGCTAGTTTCTCCTCAAAGCATTACGGAGTATGTAGAGTTGTAGTATTTTCCTTATTTGTTTCGGTGTTCAGATTAACTTTTAAATAGGGAGATTGTTAAATGCAAGTGTTAATACTCGTGTATTGAAGAAAGTAATAGGATTACTTAATATAAAAATAATAACCCAAGGGTGATTTTCTTGTGATATGGTTTCATAATACTACAACTATAAAGTACAAAGTATAATACGAAGTACTTAATATAGAATTGGTAAATATCCACGCTATTCTTGGGTTAGTATTTTATTTAATGCAACGTAACAAGCATATGTAAGGACAATGCCAAATGCAATGGGTCTATCTATCAATCTATGGGATATATAATGGTGTCCGTTATACGCAGTAATAGAAGAGTTGGTTGGTAGATTTTCCCATGCTGTTCCCTCATGGGCCGATTATCATTAATTTTCAAGCTATCTCAAGCAAAAGTAAGGAATTTCTAATTTTATTTTTAGCCCATCTTTAAGCGTGTTTGGACGAAAAATGATATACTCGATATTTAGAATTCAAAAAAAAAAACCTATTAAGGTCATTTTTGGTAATTAGTTGGTAACTTATTGATATACCTAAATGTATTAAAACTATTAACTGGTTGGATTAGATAGTTGTAGATAGCTAGATGTGTAAAAGTATTTGGTAAATTATTAGTTGTTTAATTACAGTGTATGAATTAATCAAAAAGATAATTGTTCAATAAGCTAAATTTAAAAAACTCCTCTTTCATACCTTTTCAAAAGGAGCTTTTTGGGTTCTATAAGCTATTTACCCAACATCCAAATTAGCCTTTTCATTATGATCAAACCTCTAATAGACTCAATAAGATAAGCTAAAAGCTCTCAGAATAAACATATTATCACATTTGAGTTGGTCAAGCTTCAATTGAGAATAATTAAAGCTTGATTTCCCAACAAATGTAGTTATGATCGTAAGCTCTGAATTTGCGACCTTTGATTAATCAGGAATAGCTCACTTCTCGTTTGATAACCAACCACATATCTTTATTTGGTTATAACATCCAACCATTGAATTAAAGTCTTCTAGCTCGTAACAAACAATATTATTTCATTCATCTCATTTTTGTTGATAATATGTTCTAATTTCGTGAATATTTACGTAAGTTACTTTGACTTCATTTTATTATATGATTTATACGTTAAAAAATCATAGTCATTGGCGTGTGAGTTTGTTAAATTTGGCTCGAAGCATATTTTTCAAATTTAAGTTTTTTTCAAAAAAATTTAATCAATAAGATAATTGAAAGTAATTATGTTTAAAAACTTGCATTAGTAAATGTGACTAAAGATATATGCCAATTAAAATAACACAAATGATGTATTTATTATACAAAATATTATTTTGTATTCTTCATCCTTGGATAATACAGAGTACTATTTTAGTTACTATAATTGATTAAAACACTAAAAATATTAATTTGTTTTTATTTCCACCACAACCTAAAAGTAACTTTATAATCAACTCATTCAAGTAATTTATGCTTCTTTCATTTTAAAATACTTGCAGCACAACTTCATAAACACACTTTAACAAGGAGTGCAAGATTTAAATTTCTAATTTATACAAGTATTTAGTTGTTCAATTATACGGAGTATTTTTCTATTATATATCTCTACTAAAAATCGTGCTATATAATAAACAATAATACTTGTAAGAAGGAGATAAACCTAATTGATGAAGAAGAAACTCAAGATGTAACAAAGCCCTAAACATTGAGCATTGTATTCATACACAATGCACGAACACCACAAAAAAGACATAATATCGCAAATTCGGTGCCTCGATCTTCGTGATTCCACAAAATAATTCCCTTTCTCCAGACATCACTCCTCCAAGTTTCTTTGCTACTGTCCCACTTTACTCTGAAACTATTTGAAAAAAATACTCTAATTTTACCAGCACTTTTATTATGCACTGCTTTTAGTATGATAACTTTGACTATTTTTTAGTAAAGAGAATCTCTAGGCTAAAAAAAAAAGTTTCTTCTTTTCTCACTAAAATTTTCACCCCAAATTTTCTCAAATCAAAGAAAACAGAGGAAATTATGGGTTCATCTGGCAAAAATGAGCATAGTTTTCTCTATGTTGTAGCTAGCAACTTTGATGTTCTTGCTGGGTAAGTCTTTTTTATTAAAGGGTTTTAATTTTTGTTTTTGATAAGTCATTATTTTAAAAGGGGTTTTAAAATTTTCAATTTTGTTAGTATATATTTCAATATTGTATTGTTATTTGCAGGCCATTAGTTGCTCTTGTTTATCCTCTGTAAGTTTTTCTTTTTCTTAACTATTTCCTGTTTTCCTTTTGGCCCAATGTTGAGTTAAGTTTGTTCATAAGCTGGTAAATTACTGTATGATAATGTGTGAGTTTAACAATATATATAACTTGTAACTTTGTGAGTGTGGTTTGGAAAATACGGAGTTAGGTGTAGCCAATGACATTTTTTTTCGTGCATTAGAAGATTACGAAACGCACAAAAACAGATAAATAAACTTAGGTGCATCCGAGTGCATAGTAACTACAAGCATTTCATATATCCGTTCATAAAAAGTTGTACAAACAGTAAATTTGTAGAAAATAGTGTTTCAAGTTGTTTGTAGTTGTACATTATTTTGGTATGGACAGAAATGGTGTCAAAGGCATTTTGAAAAATTATTTTAAAAAATTGTGTTAGTGGTTGGAAGATTTGATATATGTTGGTACTAAATTTTAGTGTCCAATAATTTGGATTTCATGCGACATTTGCACCTGAAGTTGCACGTTACTACTTTGCAAGCACTAAATAATTATAGGAGTGGGACGAGGGAGATAATGTCATTTTTTTATACTAAAGGTTTTTTTTTTTTCTTGTTGAGAAATTTAAAGCATGAATGTTTAGCTTACAGGAAGATATGAGCTGATAAGATAAGCAAACCCCAAAATTTATTGTACTCACTTCGTCTCTAAAAATGTTATGGAGTATATGAGTGATCACATTTGATTGGGGGTTATTTTTAAGGATTTGAGTAACACCAAGCTTATAAACAAAAAGGTTAAACTTCGGAGTTCTTTAATTGTTCATGATTATAGTTTTTGTAAACTGAACTAATTTTACAGATTAAAGTTGATCTAATTATATTTTTTATCCCAGTGTTTGTCCCAACAATTGACTAATCTGATCTTATTTAAATTGATCTCTACTTTAAACTTGTCAAAAATTATTTACTATTGTTCCTTCAATGATTTTTATTTTACTGAAACTAAATTTATTAAGTTGAAGAGAACAAGACCGTATCTGATGCTTACTTATTTATTTATTGATGATAATCTACTGACATGAAATTTCACGGTATGCATGACATGTATTAGATATGCTTCAATCAAAGCCATAGAAAGTGGTTCAAGATCAGATGATCAACAATGGCTTACTTATTGGGTATTATATTCCTTAATCACCATCTTTGAACTCTCATTTGCCAAAGTCCTTGAATGGTAAGCAACCTCTTTTATTTCTTAAAAATAATTTGTCTATAGCTACTTTGTTGTGTAGTTGGCACAAGGCTATAGAATTATGTAACTCATACACAATTGTTTGCAATATAGCTAATACGGTTTATATAATCTTGCCTATATCTATTGGTATAAAGAGTCACGAGTCTCACGACAGAAAAATAATGTAGACGAGATTTGATCCTAGATTCTGGGTACCACGGTACAACCTCATGACTTTAATCAACTAACCACGCCAATTTCGTGCATGGAATTGAATGTTTCAGGTTTCCGATATGGAGTTATGCAAAGCTTTTCTTCACATGCTGGTTGGTGCTGCCTCAATTCAATGGAGCAACTTATGTTTATAGACATTTTATTAGACCTTTCTATATGAACCCACAAATGACCACTTCCACCATGTGGTATATACCTAAGAAGAACTTATTCAGCAAACAAGATGATATTTTATATGCTGCAGAGAAGTACATTGAACAAAATGGAACTGAGGCATTTGAGAGGATCATTAAGAAGGTACTTAATCCCTAATTTTTTTGAAAAGAAAAAGTTTTTCCCCTACTGGTCTTCAATTTTCACTCACTTCAGTTGTTTCTCTGGCGAGTATGGTCTACTAAAGGAGGCAATTAGGTCATTCGGATCGTGTTGGTTTGGTTCAATTCTTGTATATAAATGCTTATTATGAATTATGATAAAATAATATTAGACAAATAGCTTGTTGGTAGGATGTAGTTGGACCAAATTTACTACATCAAGTGATTTAGAAGAGTTTGGGTTTTGGGTTGGTGATTGGTATGGATTAGTTATACCAGGTCTATGATTTCATAAAAAATTTCTTTATCTTATTAAAAATTCGTCGATTTTTCGATCTCCTTTTTACTAATTTGATGAGGTAGGGGAAGGATGATATGATACACACATCTTAGAGTGTAGAGTTTAGTCCACTCTGAAATGACGTTTTAAGTGATTCTTGGCATGTGTAACAGAGTTCTTTTGAATCTGTATCTCTAAAGGGTGCTTTTCAATTAATTATCCGTCAAATTTTAATTTGTATGATCACAATGAAATCTTCCGTTAAACTTTAACATTATACATTGAAAGCGTGACGTAAACATCTTGGTGATTGCAGGCTGATAGAGAAGCAAAAGCAAGGAGGAAACACTACATGATTTTTGAAGAGGATCACAAAATTCATAATAAATATAATGGATATTACTGATCTCTTTAATATAGGCTAGCTCTCTCATGAGTTAATTCGACGGCCAGTTGAGCCAGTACGTCTTGTTTCACTAACTTTGTTGCAACCCTGAGTTTTGGATGTAAATATATACTTCCTTTGTTTTTTTTTTTTCCTTTGTTGTACGGCTGTACCATTGTGACTCATCAAATCCTCGGTTCTGACTCGTTTCCTTTGTATGGACATTGTTAATTACAGGACTCTATTTGTAGCTACTGGCTAGATCCCCTTGCCATGGAAACCAATTTATTGTGATCTTTAGGGGCGAGGTGTTCAGAATAATATGAAACTGAATAATGTATGGACATTGCTTCATGTCAGCCCTTCCCTCAAAATTGCCTCGGTCACGTTCCTCAATGTGTTCGTATTCATTAAACTCTCTTGGCCAAGCATTAGACAATATGCAATAGTTGGGAGTTCTCTTTCCTCTCACTAGTTGATTCAAGTTTACAAAGTTAACTATAATATCTTAATGATAATATTTACATACATCTTTCCCAGTGGAGATACACTTCTATATTATCAAAGCAGGAGAGCAACTAACATTGGTCCGTCAATTTACCTATTTTCTAATTTTATCAGATTTTTTTTATTTTTTTTATTTATTATTTATTTTTATTTTTTTAGTGTATGCAGTATGCTATGTTTTTTTGGGGGTATTTTGCTACTACACCAGTGAGTTGATAGCAGCAAAGAAATAAATTCTTGCATAATGGAAATGAAGGCAAGAACAGCCGCCATAGTTGGACTAGCATTTGATATTTTGATGTACACGATGCGTTAAACATTTGAAAAATTTATACTCGTAGCTAACATTATAACCAAGTAAAATGATAAGCAGTTTGGTATGCGATACGGATCGAATCCGAAAGTAATTTGAGCTAAAGCTAGGGTGAATCGAATGGGCTTCCTTAAAAAAAATAACCAAGTAATACGATGACTATAAAGTTTCCTAACTATTTAGTATAGAGTGAAAAAACTGACAAAATATTGTTATGGACATTTTATTGAAACAAAATCTTCATCACCCTTATACTGTTATCATCCCTTAAAAACAGATTTAATTACAAACTCAAACATAAACTTACAAAATTTCAGTTTATAATAGAATAAAGCTCTAAATCACTCAATTAAGACACCGCTGATTGTTTCTTTTGCTTGAAGCCTTTGATAGCAAGATTTTGAAATTAAAAATTCAATACTTATATCGAAATTTTGCTCATTCGTCATCATCGTGTGCATATAAAACTACAACCGCCAATTCGGATGTTTTGGTCAAGTCAATGTATGTTATTTTAGGCCAAATCCATGTTCCAAGCATGTCGGGTTAATGGACTTATCTATGTGGGTTAGGTGATGGGGTTATGTTCGGTTTAGGTTATCCATCCTATAGTGTTTGTGTCGCGTTTGAAGTCAACTCGGGACAATACAACTCCGATCATAGGTGGCTCGATTCGGGTTTGGTATATGTTTTTAGTAGGTTATTTAAAGTTCAAGTCAAATTTGGGTCGGGTCAACTTGTCGAGTGTATTCGAGCTGCATTGATTAACAAATCAGATTAGATTCGGGTTTCAACGTGTAGAAATCAGGTTGGGTCATTCCGGGGTTCATCGAGTTCAAATTTAGAATTCTAGCTAATAAAATTTAAGCTATATAGCGGTCGTATTATCTCTAAGCCATATCATATTCGGGTCTCATACTTGCAAGTTGATTAAAATTTTCAAGTCAAATTCAAATTGGGTCACAATTCAATTAGAGCCTTTAGAGATGTCCATTCAGGTATTTAAGTCGAGTTCGATGAGGTCGATCTGTTCGGATCAAATATCTTTCAAAATTGAATTATGTTAAATTACTTTCCGATCAGATCGGGTCGGGTCAATTTTTAACCCCTTTAGTCACAAATGGGTGAAAAGAACAAGACCCTCTACTTTAGCCTTTGGGAGCCCCCCTCAAAATGTAGGATCACGTGAGTTTATGACAAAAACTTGAAAGAAAAGCGGGAAAACATAACCTACAGTAACACACCACCCCACCAAAAAAAACAAAAGCATAAAAGTGGGCCCAAAAATCTTAAATTGGGCCTACTTCGTAAATGTAAAGACAACATAAATATAGCCTGGGAGAAGTCCAACAAAACTCCAGGTATCTTACGTGGCACCCTTCACCTTTAAAAAAAATAATAAAAAATTGACACTTCTTGAAAGCGTCGTTGCCTTGTTCTTGTCACATTTGTTGCACACACCAGAGGAAAGGGGAGGGAGGAGAGAGAAAATTACTCAACGCATTCAAGAATCTGTTCTCCTTCCTTCTGAAAATTGAGAATATATGCGTTACGTTTTGAAATCCTTAGATTTTGTAGAATTTTCTCTGTTTTTGATCGGGATTTAGTCACCATTTTTGACGATTTCTTGGATTTTTTTAAATTTTTTGGAGCTACGAAGTCAAATTGGGGGCGGCATTTGGAGATTCCTTCGATTTTTTTTTTTTTTTTTGGAGCAATTTTGAGGATTTGAGGTGGATTTTTTTTTGTTTTGATTGAGGTAATTCGGAGCTTTTTTTGAATTTTTAACGAGTTTGATTTTGTTTGAGTTGATTATTTGAGGTAATTCGAATAATTAGGGTTCATTTGGGGGATATAGAGTTGTAAGAGCTGATTTTGTGGCTTAATTTTGCATATTTTGGGGTTAATTTTGAGTATTTGGGGTTTTAGAGGAGTAAATGAGCTGGAGAACAATGCGTTTTGAGGTTATATAATGATGATGAAGAAGAATCTGATGATGGATTACACAAATTTTGAGGAAGAGAAGCGATAATGGTTTGGAGAATTGGCATTGTTTTTTCATGGGGTTAGAAGTTGAGTCACTGAATTTCAGGTTTAGTATTATTAGTCGTTTTTGGATTGGTTCAAATGGGTAAAACAAGGCTGGGACGATCACAACAACGCTGGATTTCGCAACGTAGATGGGTGATTCGACGAGGGGCGGCCCCGGGGAAAGGGACATTGAACAGGTAGCTTTTGCTTTCCTATTTTATTGGGGAGTAAGGAAATGTATGATGTTATTATTATATAATGCTATTTGAAACCATTTTGTGTTTGATGTTCTTTGCTTGGTATATTGACAAGGAATTATGTATTGATCGCTCTGTATTGACTGTTAGTTTATGAATAGACCATTTACTTATCATCTAATAACAGAGAGCCACAAGCATTGTTGTTGAATTTATAGCTTCGATAACTGTATACTAGCATCAGATACAAAAAAGAAACTTGACTTCTATTGTGAAAGCTAAAGGTTTGATATATTGAAGTGATTGGTAGACCTTGCTTCGATGTAACCTTTGATCATATGGGCATAAGAAGGGTTTGAGGGGGAGCATCATTGAAGTATTTAGTGATTTGATGTGAGGGGACCGCAAATTTCCTAGTGGGGATTGAGGGAGTACTGATAGTGTTTAAAGGGGGCTGCTGAATTTAAATGCCTCAAGGCAGGCAAACTTGCCTGTCAATGTTATCCCTTTTCAATTGATTGGGTAGTGCTTGCTAAAGAGCTCACGAAAGTCTTCAACGCATGCTATAATTTCCTTATGTTAATATCAATTGTGTATAATTGGTATTAGAGGAGCTTCATGGTTACGGAAACATTTGGGTTTTTCTCCCTCTATAAAACACACACCCCATTGGCAATATGTACAAAATTCTATGACAACCTTTTTTTTTTTTTGCCAATATTATGTCCTATGCTGGAGGTAATCTGAACTTTTCCACAAGTGTTAGGGTTTGATATGTGATGTATAAGTTGTAGTTACTTGGAAAAACTTTATCTTCACACCAAAGTCAAATAGGAAGCATTTTTGGGATGGAGGGAGTTCAAGAAAGCCTGACAATTATTTTGAGTTCGTGTAAGCAAATAAGATGAGAAAGCACTCAATGTTGTGGACTGCTAAGAAGTTAGAATTTAGAGGTACCACGCAGAGACCTATAGCACATGGTTGGGTTATTATCATAAGTAGTAAGGAACTTAGACCAGCAGTTGACCTATAAGTGAAGATATACAAGGCTCCCAAATGATGTGGTCTGCATTTTGGGTACGTTGGTCTTATTGTATTTAATACAAGAAGGCATCTGTGAAAATGTAAAATTTAAGACATATTTTAGAGTCAAAGGGCAGAGTTAAGATGGAATGTGTGGACTGTAAATTTAAGAAAGTCAGATAGTTTCCTGAGATAGACATCAAGACTCAAACTTTTGCTATACCTACAATTCCCGGACTTGCTTACGGTTACATGCCTAAGATATGATTCATCGAGACCTAAAATTCTTAGACATGGGATTTAGAACACTGCAATTTGGAATTGTTTAGAGTAATTTTCTTGGATGATATGTAACTGTACGAATAGAAAATATCAATCAAGAGTAGTTTTTATGAGAAGTAAAAGATTAAACATATCATTTAGAAAGTTTGGGACCTTCAGTTTGTGCCGAACAATACTGTAATGACTAGTGAGATGACTGAGATCTCAAACTTAAGAATTTCAGGAAAATTGTAGCAAAGATGGAGTCGCTTGTAATTTTTATTTTAATTATCTGCATCAAATTTAATTGAAATGGGACAAATCGCAAGGACATCTCAAAATTACAGTTTTAGCCCTTTTAGATCCGAAAATGTTTATTTTCTATTGGTGTACCTACGATGAATTTGAGGAAAAGGGATCAGCTTTAACGGAAGTTCCACATCTGTACGTTATCAAGGCCTTGACTCAACCCCTAAGGGCTAAGGCACACAAATTATGATTAAATTTATTTTGCCCCGAAGAATTCATTATGCACCCTCAATAATTTAGGTCTATATTGGTGAATTAAACACTCATTTATCTATTTTCTTAGATAATCTTTAGCATTTTAAATTAAGGGAAGCTAGATATGGTTGTTTATTATATGTATAGTGCTTATTAATATACACGCTTGACACAAAAGTTGTACATTTTATTTAACATCCAATTAAAAGTCTTTGAAATCATGATTATGTATTACTTCCTTTGTTCTTTACCAATAAATATAAAAAGATAGAAAGGGTCAAAGCTGTTTGTTGGTAAGCATTAAGTCATTGTTATTGCATGTGTGTGTGAGTGTGTGTGTGAGATAAAGGGTCAAAGTTGTTTCTTGGCAATCATTAAAGTCAATGTTATTGTGTGTGTGTGTGCACGTGCATGCATGCGTGCGTGCTCCCTTTGTTCTGCATCAATTTTCACTTTAATTTTGATTTCTAATTTTCTATTATCCTTTGGTTTACAATTTTACATTGTTATTATTGGTAAATTTTTGTTTAAGAAATCAGGACTCTTTAAATATTAAATCTAGATTTTTCGTCAATGTATGGCGTGCCAAGTTTGATCTTGCAAGTGTATGTGACTATTAATAATCTTGGATGGAGTAGGTTAGCTAAAACATCCTTAGCATTTCGCCTAGATAATTTGGTCTCATTGTGTCAATGACATTTGGTTCAAACTGATAATGTACATACAGGACATAGGTTACCATTTACCAAAGGTACCAGGTCAATTTTGTGATGACAATAGACAGTTCAGGAGCATGTTATCTGCTAAAGTGGAATATAGTGTACATAAAAGTAAGGATCAGGAAATTTAATGAGCTTAGAGATTCTTGCTAACAAAGGGATCTACCTTAAGTACTGATGTGGCATCTTATAAGTGACCCATAGGAAGGGAATCATAGACAACAGAAAGACTTGAAACTGGCTAGGTGTTGCTTTTAGGATCTGGATAAATCTGTGGAATTTGTTTTGCTCTTTAGATAGATTAATTAGATCAGGTGTCATATATGATTATTTTGGATAAAGAGAAGCTATTGTATTCTGTGGTTGTAAATCAATCATATGATTTTGGAAATTATATCTATGTTTGTGATGTGGATGATATAGATATAGCTCCGAATTTATTTTCATTTTCAGGCGGTTACTGCGTTGAAGAAAGGGGCAACTTTGCTGAAGTATGGGCGAAGAGGGAAGCCTAAATTCTGCCCGTTCCGGCTTTCAAATGTAAGACTTGCCTGTCTTATGCGCTTAAGTGCTTAACACATGCTTTGTTTGTATTTGTAATATTCCTGTGAACAAACAAGTATTGAAGCTACATTTGCACTCAATTATAATATTTTTGCATTCATTTCTCCACAAGGGTGGTCTTTTCTTTGTTCAGTAATACTGGTCTTCGTCTCCGCCTATCCTACTTTCATCTATCTTCTACCATGAAAGGCATTGCTTACATTCTAGGAAAGCAGTGGCCTTAAATTTGTATCTTAGTGAAGTTATTTATTTATTTATTTATTTTTATTTTTTTTGGCAATTTTTGGGAGAACTTGCTGCTTAAAATTTGTTGACTCCTTTGCTTTGTATGATCAGGATGAATCCGTATTGATATGGTACTCTGGGAAGGAGGAGAAACAGCTAAAACTCAGCCAAGTTTCAAGGATTATTCCTGGGCAGCGAACTGTAAGTTTGACTGTCCATTTCTAGCTAAGTAATAGAATTTTGTTAGTCAAGGGTTTCATCTAATTTCAATGACATAGAATTATTCACCATTTAACTTGTGATTTTTGGATTATAATGGACTAAATCAGAGTATGAGTTTATTTTGTAATACAAAGTGCCTCCTTGCAGTTAAAGAGGTAAATTTAAACGTATGCTATCCTTTATTCAAAGCACAAGAGGGGTAAAATTGTAGTATAGGGAACTTAGCGGAATATTTAAAAGCTAAAACGACAAGGAGCTCAAAGGTGCACAAGAGTTTTTACGGGGAAACTTTTCTAGTCCCAACTTGCAACCTATTACTATGATATAGCAACCTATTACAAGTTAAGACTCTTACCCAAGTTCCTTACAGTGGATCCCTCAACCTAATGTATTCTCAAATCTCTCACTCAAATAAAGCTTCAGTCAAAGCTATTCTAGAGTTCACTCAAACCCTATTCCCAAATATCACATCGGGCAATACGTGATGATGTGGTTGAGTTTTGAATGTACTTTGAGCACGTAAGACTATCAAATAGATATGATTCCAACAGGCATTGTTAGACAATCAACCTGTCCATTCTCAATTCCAGTCTTATTAGATTTAAAAAAGATAGGTCATGGCATTTTTTTTTTTTTTTTTTTGTAGACTACCCCAGAGAAAAAGGTGCCGGACAATTGCCTTATCTTGATAACAAAGTAAACATTTAAGAAGACTACATCTCTCTCTTCCCCTTTTGGTTGATTTTCTTGATTCTTAGAGTTGTTTTTAGGGTAGGTGTTGTGGTTTTCAAGTGGTTCAAGTTGTTTTAGGAGGGGGTGGGTTCTTAGTTCCAAAAAGTTTGTCTTAGGTGCAAGAGCTGGTGCCGTGCCTTAACTCTTCCCGGTGCAAAAACCTACAAAATGTGTGTGCTTATGCACATTTTTCTAGGCTGCGCGAGAGCTTTTTGCACTTTATGTTGTATGGCATCAATATGGTCAGCAAAATAGGGACTTAGCAACAGAAGTAAAAAGGCCACCCTCCAAAATAAATATTATGAACTTAAGGTGATAGAATAGGGCCTTAACAGCAAAAAACAATACCACCCGCCAAAATAAATATTTATTTAAGGTAAATACAAATTCGGGCCTTAGCAAGAAAATTATTAATACCACCTGCTAAAATAATGTTTTTAAAGTTAGACTTACTTTAATATTAGAGGAGAAAGAAACCCCAAGTACCCCAATTCCATTTTTGGATCACATGGCCCTTTTATCTTTTCCCATAATACTTTTTGTAGACTTATCTAATATATCTATTTTTTTAAATATAAATAATGTGTGCTCATGTTCAAACACATACGCCTTCTCCTTGCGCTTAGGTTCCAAGGACTTTTGTGCCTTGCTGCAACTTGTGCCTTTTAAAACTACGGGTGGGTTTTGTTTTCAAAGTAGTTAGGTGGGTTTTCAGGGATGTTAGGATTTGTTCATAGGGTTGTTGGGACAGTATTCGGGGGTTGTGGGTGGTTTACGATGATGATTGGTTTTGTGGTGGGTTATTGGTGGTAGGGGTGGTTTTGTGGAGGAATTTTGGTGGTGGGGGGTGGTTTCATGGAGGATTTTCGGTGGTGGGGTGGTTTTATGTGTTTTTGGTAGAGGTTGGTTGTTTTTGAGAGAGAGAGGTGGTTTTTGGGTGGTGGGTAGGTGGTTCAAGGAGGTTGGTTGAGCTTTCGATGGTGGTTAAGTGATTCAAAGGGCCCTAGTAATCAGAGTGGTGGTTGGCAGTGGTGTGGTGTAATGAGATGGTCAAAGTGGTAGTTAGGGCTAGTTTGGTGAAGGGGATTTTGAGAGTGAGGATGATTTTTTGGGGGGAGGGAGGAATCATGGTAGAGAGAAGCGGGAATCGTAGTTGTGATTAAATTGGTTAATCAAACTACAAAAAAAGTAAATCAAGGTAATTTATTGCCTTTCCGTTTCTTTAAATCCCCAAAACAAACTCCCACTAAAGGTATAGGGAATCAGAAAATCCCTTATCTTTCTGTCCCTCTCTTTTTTTTTTTTTTGAAAGAGGGGAATAAAATTGTGTATAAACTGAAAAATCAGACAAACATACTAATTATAGTTATGGCACTTAGGGGTGAGTACAATAGGGTGCCTAGTTAAAAAAACCTGGAACCACAATCAGAACCTGATGCAACATGTTCCTCTAAATGGTAACCAGATCAGAACCTCAACCTGTTTCTAGGTTTCGGTTTAAGGAACCTTGCTATACTTAATACTCCCTCCGTTTTTTTTTTAAACGCATCACTTGAGATTTTGTACTATTCATGTGTTACCTTTGACTTAATTTTTTTATTACTATATGATTTATTAACATGATCATGTAATATATTATTGGATTTGTTATAATGTCTACTTTTCTAATATATATTTTTTTTTTTTTTAATTTTTACTAAATTCTAATTAAAGATAATGATGGTCAAAGGTGTGCCTCGACAAGTGTGAGAACTCAAGTGATGCATTTAAAAAAAAACAGAGGGAGTAATTGTTTGCAAAATTAATTTAAAAAAAATCTGGATGATCACAAATTTATATAACTTTTACAACTCACAAATACAACAAACCAAAAGTAGTTGCTAGCAAATTAATACATATATTTATAATTGTCATTTTTAGTTTTTAAAAGTTGGGCTTAATTTTGTGTATAATTTAAGCTTAATTAATATCTTTTATCAAGTTACAAGATACCCATACGGTTCCAAAAAACAGAGAAGTTGCAACATGTCTCAATTTAACTACCTGGAACCGAACCTCTTGTCCAGGTTCCCTTTCCTATCAGGTTCTGGTTCCGATTCAGTGTACCATGATTTTTTGCTCACCCCTAATTACAGTAATAATTCTATATTATACAAATATAATACAGACGATATTTTTAGTAGTATCAGTTGTGCCAGCGGTGCCAGCAGCAATGAACTGTAGGAAATTTTTAACATACCATGCATGCACGTACACAGTCACCTATAGTAACAACCGTAACAATTATGAAGAGGAAGAGATTGGAAAGGTAAAACACATGTTGGGTATGATCTATCCTATGAAAAAAAAAAAAGAAAAGAAAAGATCCTTGTAGTCAGCTAGTTATCACATCCCAATACTTCTTGGGTGTTGAGTCTACTAGTACCTCTTTCTCTGTTACAGTTCCTTCAGAGAATCTTCTACGTCCAAAGCCTGAAAAAATGATGAAAGAAGGAAAGTGCAGTGGCTGAAGTTCCTCTTGACTTTTTTTTTTATAATTTTTTTTTAATTGTTTGAGGTGATTTTCCTGCATTTCAGGGAATTTTTAAGCGATATCCTCGGCCTGAAAAGGAGTATCAATCATTTTCTCTTATATACAATGATAGTAGATCATTGGATCTGGTGAGTCATTTATCATGAATGCTAAAACTTTCCAAGTTTGTAATTCAGGATCCATTTGTTATCATTTGCAGTGTTCTTATTGTATGAAGTAATTTTATGTGCCAATTTTTTTTTATTTTTTAATGACACGCAGAATGCATAATTTTACTTGTTGGTATTGAAAAAGTGATTTGAACATTCTTATAATCTTTGTGATAGATATGCAAGGACAAAGATGAAGCTGAAGTGTGGTTTGTTGGTCTTAAGGCACTAATTTCTAAGAATGGCTGGCGTAAATGGAAAAATGAAGCAAGGGAGAGTAGTACATCATCTGCAGATGGCTCAACTAATCGGAGAATTCATCAATCAATTGCATCACATGTCTGTCCCATTCCCAGAATCTCCTATCTAATTTATTATAAATCGGAACATAAACAATCTTGCAGTTGACTTACTTTTGCTTTTGAATTACATTAGGATGCTGGGGATGCACCCTGCCAAGTGCCAATTGAGAGTCCTCCTCAAACTGGATTGGGGAAAGCATTCTCCGACATAATACTTTACACTGCAGCATCCAATAACTGCAGTCAGGCCGAGGCATCCATCTATGTTGCTAGCTTTCCACCTTCCAACAGTGTAGAAAATTTTACGGGCCGAAATTCATCATCTGAAAGCATTCGGATTAGTTCATCAAGTTTGGTAAGTTCATCAAGTCAGGGATCTTTTCCTGATGATTTTGATTCCTTGGGTGATGTTTTCATGTGGGGAGAAGGAATCGGTGAGGGCATAATGGGTGGTGGCTCCCTTGGAGTTTCACCAAGTGGCAAGTATGATGCTAATCTACCCAAGGCACTAGAATCAACAGTGGTCCTTGATGTTCATCATATAGCTTGTGGTGTTAGGCATGCAGTGTTAGTTAACAGGCAAGGGGAAATCTTCAGTTGGGGGGAAGAGTCAGGAGGCAGGCTTGGGCATGGTGTGGAAGTTGATGTTTCCAATCCAAAGTTGATCGAAGGTCTTAGTGGTATGAATATTGAACTAGTTGCATGTGGAGAGTACCATACCTGTGCCATTACAACATCTGGTGATCTTTTTACATGGGGTGGTGGTACCTGGAATCCTGGTATGCTTGGACATGTTAGTGAGGCAGGTCACTGGATACCTAAAAGAGTATCTGGCCCTTTAGAAGGTATGTATGTATCTTTTGCATCTTGTGGACCTTGGCATACTGCTGTAGTTTTATCAACTGGTCAGTTGTTTACATTTGGAGATGGTACCTTTGGTGTCCTGGGCCATGGAGACCGTATGAGCTATACTGTTCCAAGGGAAGTTGAGGCCTTAAAGGGACAACGAACACTGAGGGTAGCTTGTGGTGCTTGGCATACTGCTGCAGTTGTTGACATTCTGGAAAGTGAAACTATGTTTGATAGATCTTTCTTAGCATCGGGAAAGCTCTTTACCTGGGGTGAGGGTGATAAAGGCCAGCTTGGCCACGATGATAAGGAAGCTAGATTGATCCCTGAGTGTGTGGAAGTGCTAATGGATAATAGTTTCTGCAAAGTAGCTTGTGGCCGTGATTTTACTGTTGCTCTTGCTACCTCTGGACGAGTTTATACAATGGGCAGTACAGCTTATGGACAATTAGGATGTCCTGCTGCTAATGGAAGAATTCCATTTTGTGTTGAGGGTAAGATTGCAGACAGTTTTGTAGAAGATATTGCTTGTGGTTCTCATCATGTTGCAGTTTTGACATCTAAGGCGGAGGTTTTCACTTGGGGAAGAGGGACCAATGGGCAATTAGGTCATGGAGATAATGACCACAGAGATGAACCTACTCTTGTTGAGTTCATGAAAGATAACCAAGTAAAGAGAGTAGCATGTGGGTCCAATTTCACTGCTGCCATTTGTTTACACAAATGGGCTTCGGGAACTGATCATTCTACGTGTACTGGTTGTCATAATCCATTTGGTTTCCGGAGGAAACGTCATAATTGCTACAACTGTGGGCAGGTATTTTGCAAGGCATGCAGCAGCCGCAGATCTCTGAAAGCTTCTTTGGCTCCAAACATGAATAAGCCTTACCGGGTTTGTGATGATTGCTATGTGAAGCTGAAGAAAGCAACAGAATATGGAAATATGCGAATCCCTAGACCTGTCAGTAAAATCAGTCTTCAAAAGTCCAATGAAGGAGCAGAAAAGGAAACATTACTTCCCAAATTTGGGGGACTCTCATTTGTCAATTCCCTGAAAAGAATTGATAGTGATCGTTCTAAGGGTGGTGCCAAACCAGGAAAAGTTGAGAGCTCCATCTTTCCTACTTTCAATGGGATATTTCAACCTGGCAGTAGTCATGTATCAAGCAGTTTATACCCTATGTTGGGAACCTCAGATAAACGAGTCTCAGCTTCTGCTCCTGGTTCCAGAATGGTTTCTCGGGCAGCATCACCCATTTCACAAGGGTGCAGTCCTGTAAGATCATTTACATTTAATAATTCAATCAGTCTTCCCACGTCTCCGGAACTTATGGCTCCTAACTCAAAGCCTACACAAGATAATTTGAGGCAAGAAATTGTTCAATTAAGAGTAGAGGTGAGCCATTTCATAAAGCAGAGATTTACGTACTGTAATTCTGATATAATGCTCCCGCCGTTTCTTAGTGTATGCATGTTATACTAATTTGTTATGTCCTGTGTGCTTCCCTTAGTGTTACGTTCAAGATGCATTATTCAAATTAGTATATCTATAAAAAGGAAATGTGTGCATAGACAATGTGTGCTTCCTTTTTCTTATATCTATAAAAAGGAATCCTGTAGAAAGAACAAGCTAGGGTTTTTGTTACTCTGATACTCCAATCCAGTGAATCCACCTTGGTGGGTGTCATTGGTAACCGACTCCTTAGGGTAAAGATACTTGGATATGATACATGAATAAAAAATTCTAGATGAATGTAGAAAAGGACTACCAAGGCTTTCTACTGTTATAATAATGAATTTGTGCTATGGCATATGTGCCATTATCCATTATCAATTAATTTGTAAAGTTCTGAGCAAATTGTGGATCAAATTATTAGGTAGAAAAACTTACTGGTGACAATAAGCTTCTTGAAGCTGAACTGGAGAAAACAAGAAAGCGACTTAAGGAGGCCAAAGTGGTAGCAGTAGATGAGGCTGAGAAATCCAAAGCTGCCAAGGAAGTCATCAAGTCCCTGACTGCACAGGTTAGTTGCACAACATCTACCATATATTATTGTGAAAAACATCATGCAGTCCCTACAGATACATCAATCATCTATTGTTTTCCAGTTATTCATTTCTTCAGCACTTTTTCATAACTCATAGTTGTCTTGACTGTATTGACTATGGAAGAATTTCTTTTTGATAGTATTGACAAAAGAGATCCGGTGAGAATAGGTCCCTATATGAGAACACCATACTTATCTAAGAATGGGTCTAAAATGTAGAATATGTGAATAAAAATTTAGAACATGCGAGTAAAAGTTTTAAACATCTGCCTGAGTAATAATTTGGAACCTCTGATTTAAGGATAAGAGCATGTGAATTACAATTTAGAAAACTTGATTTAAAATTTAAAACATGAGTAATTTAGAACATCTAAATTTAAACTTAGAACATGAGAATAAAAATTTAGAACACCTGATTTATAATTTTGAACATATTAGTAAAATTAAGAACATGTGAGTAAAAGTTTAGGACATACGAGTAAACATTTAGAACATATGATAAAAAAATCTTAGAACACACAATTTAAAATTTAGAACAAATTTAAGATTCAGAATATGTGTATTAATTCAGAGTATCTAATTTAACTCATTTAAGATTTCGAACATGTGAGTAAAAATGTAGAACATAGAGAGTGTTCTCACATAATTATGGGTTCTCACGATAACCATAATATATATTCTTTATTGTAGCTTGTTGTATACTGTGCTATGATTAGTATCTATTTTAAGATTGAAACCTGGGGCTTCTAAATATTATGTTGTGACTTTTTTTTTTTTTTTTTTTTTTAAGTTGCACCATTTGAACTTTTTCACTACTCATTCATCTCTCTTTGACCATCATTTGTGTTTTATACGTAAGAAAAGATATAGTCAAGTGGGATCTTATTAGTTTCGTCTTGATTTATGTTTTCCAAATATCAAAATTTTATAATTTTTACTAAATGCAAATAAATATAGGAATGATCAAAATTTTGTATTGGCAAGTGTGAAACTTCAAATGATGCAATTAAAAACAACAGAGTAAGTAGTTGATATTTTATGTCTGTAATAAATTAGCGGAATACGATTTTTTAAGCAATATAATCTCTAATATCTTTGTTGTACTTCCGGTGGAGTAGATGCAATTTTTTTTTTAACTCTCATGTCCAGTTTTAATATCTTTATTGTTGCTCAAACTTTTTAAATTTGTCCTTGTGTTTGTTATTTTTTTGTAAAAACGCCTTATGGTGCTTTGAATCTCAGACTTTTTTTCAATTTATTATTGCTGTAGTTCTACATTATGTTCAATTTGGTTAGAAAAATTAACTGAAGATGTAATCAAACAAAGTAAAGAAGGCTAAGTTAGAATTGTGTATTAGTCACAAAAGGTCCAGATATGCGACTTTTGGGTTATTTCTGTTTTTTTTTTTTATTATTGGATTATCCATCTTTTTTTCTTTTCTTTTTTTTTTGAAGAAAAAGATCATCCATCTTTTAACAATAAAAAATATGGAACCCAACTGCTTTGTTAGAGTTGTTTTCTGCCTTGTGACATATTGCTCCTGACAGTGTTAGTTTATTTATGGGTTGTGAAATTTGTTCCGACAGTTGAAGGAGATGGCTGAAAAGTTACAGGGAGGAAAAGATGCAAGCAGCAAATTAGATTTTTGTACACAATCCTCTGGTTCCTTTAGAAAGGTCTCTGATGATAACTTTTTGTCTCCTAGAAGTGAGTCAACTGTTACTATGGATGCCTTACTAACTAATGGAGAAAAAGCACAGCCTGAAAAGACGGAGTGGGTTGTACAAGATGAACCTGGCGTGTACATAACACTTTGCTCCTTGCCAGGAGGCACTAATGAGCTCAAGCGTTTGCGTTTCAGGTACATTAGGTTCTTTCTGAAACAAACTTACATTAGGTTCTTTCTGCATGGTGACATATGACAGTCTATGTGTTGGATAGTAAGTAGAATCTCATGAACTTTCTTCTAACTTTTGTGGACATGTGGAGTTGATGGAATGTGTACAAGACTACAAGTATGTGACACTGCAAACACTTTCTTTTCCAACTAACTGGTCTTTTTGTCAGGCAGACTCAGGCAATACTTGTTATGTTGTAATATCTGCATCTCTTGATTTTATTCTTACATGGTGTCTTTTCTAGAACCTCGAACCTCCTACTAATACTTTCTTATTTATGTCAAAATTATTCCTTACCACCCCCATTTAGTGGACCCCACTCCCACTTGATGAACCCTCACCCACCCTCATTGATTTCCCGCCTATCCTTATTGAGCACTTTTGTCTTTTCAGCCGCAAACGTTTCAGTGAAGGACAAGCGGAAAAGTGGTGGACTGAAAACAGCAGCAGAGTATGTGAACGGCACAATATACAGAGTCAATAGGTGTGGCCTGAGTATATATTATCAACTTGGAAGCAAAGCTGGCAACAATGGCAGGTTTATTTGGAGTGTGTTGACCTGGTTTCTCAGGTAAACTATGGCAGACATACTTGCACCATCAAGTGACAGGAAGGGGTGAACTCTTAAACCCACACGGCCACACGCCTTTGCAAATGTGGAATTGTGAATTTGCCTTCACTTTCAAGAGCCAGTCAAAATCCTTCTTTTTACATGATCCATTCTTTGTCCTCATTGTGATTGTATAGTTAGACAATCAACTGAACTTACTGAATCATTGCAGCTTTTAGTTTTATATAGGGTACACTAACAGGTACTGTTTGTTCACGGTTTTCTGTTTCCACTTACAGATGAAGTGGAAAATGCATTTTTGCTTCAAAGATTAAACAAATCAGATTGTATTGTTATTGTTAAGAGTAAGCTCTCACAAAACAAAAACTCTACTAAGAAGAAACGAAATGTGGCATAGCCAAACCTACAATGTCATCATCAACTATGATCCACGGCCTGAAGGTGGCTTTTGCACCTGCCTCCATCCCTAGTCCACAATAACCAGCACAGCTGCCACAGCCAACTCCACCTGATAGTCCTGATTGCCATCTCACCACCACCACCACCAAACCAACCACCCAACACCTGACCATCCATTGCCATCTCAACATCACCACCACCACCAACTAGCCACCTAAAAGGGTAGAACAAAAAAAAAAAAATTAAAATATTGCCTGCCAACATGGTAGCAGTGCAAGTGTTAGACGCCACAACCATACAACAACAACAACAAAACTTTACTCCCAAAATAATTTAGGATCGACTAACATGAATCGTCATAAGAGCATTCACATTGGTGGGAAAATAGGCTCCCTATTTGACAAAAAACAGAAATGAGGACCTTCCACTAATGTTACTGCTTTCCCATTTACTAAATATTTTTGGGGAGGATAATTTGATTGGAAGCCTCCCAAAAATAAGGTGGTCCCAATTTGCACCAAAAATTATTTTATTAATATTGATGGGGTATGGAAAGTTGGAGGGAGAAAATGTGGAGTATGAAAAAATAGGAGAGTGAAAGTAAATTGGGAGGTCTATGAATATAGGTATGGAATTGTGAAATGAGAATGGTATTTAATAAAGTAAGTGGAAAATGATATGGACTAATGAGGTGAGGAGAGAAAAATTATGAAGAGCCTTAATAGATGTGGATGCTCTAAGTGTTTCGGGGTTTTCGGAGTCCCTCGGAAGAGTTACAACTCCAAGATTGGATGCTGAACGTCTGTACCTGCAAAACAACAGAGACTCCGGTTGGGTAGAGTTAAAAAATATATATATATATATATATATATTGTGCTGCTACTTATCTCATGCCTTAAGTGTAGTAGTTAATAGTTATATATGACTTGGTCTGATATATATTTAGCAGAAATGGGCAAGGTATAAAATGACCCAAATTTGAGAATTGAAACTCACCCAAACAAACCGAAATGCAGAGGCTTACAAAGTCCTCAACCACCACACTTCTCCGACAACTCCCCTTCTCTCTCCTCCACCACTGCCGCCGTCTTTCCACTTCCTCCGGCAATAAAACCGACGAATGGAACGACGCCTGGGAAACTGCTTGGCTACCCGACGATCTCGCCGGCAAGAATACTCGCGCACCATGGGAGTCCGACGTCAACTTCGGCCTTAATCCCGACGCTACTGACCCTGAGACGAAGGCGTTTGTCGAAGACATGAATGAAAACTGGGAAAACCGCCGTATGAACAGAGAGAAAGCTAAACAAGAGGAGGAAATGAAGATTAAGAAGAAGGAAGAAAATGGTGAAAATGTTGGGTTGTATAGTTTGGAAAATGTGCAGAAGGATTATAGGTTGAAGAAACAGAGGATTCATGCTGGGCTTTGGATGAAAGAGATTGAATTGATTGAAGAAGCTAAGGTGGGTGGTGGGTCTGCTGATGATATTGACAAGCTGCTTGATAGTTGTTCTGAGTGAGTTTTCTCTTATCTCTATTTTTAGCTTTATTGTGTTTTCTCTTTGATTGGGAAAATCAAGGTGTTTTTGGTTTTGGTGATCTGGGGTTTGTGGTTTGTAATTTGTTTATGAATTTTTATGCATGCTAGGTGTTTGTTTTTATGCCTGAGTGAACGCCTGCTTGAAAGTTTAGTGGTTAACTCCTGAATTTATGAAATGTATCAATTGGGCATCAAGATTGTTTGCTTTGATAGTTTGGGAACTGTTGTTTGATGCTAGTATGTTTGATTATTGGGTGTGTTTTTTTTTTTTTTTATGCTGGGTGTGTGGGATGTGTTACTTGGATTCTTCATTTCTTTTGAAGTACTAGTGTTGGATCCTCGATACTTTGACATGGGAATGGACACTTCCACAGTTCTTCTTAGGCCAAAAAAACATGGACAACCTTCACAAAATAGACTGAGTACACTCTTGGACATGTACTTGTGTCAATACGAGTACTCAAGTGAGTTGAGTCCAAGTAACATAGTGTGTGAGTACTGATATAATTGCTCATTTTTTGCCTTTTTAGCTCCACAATTGGGTTTTTGTAGTTACACAGCTTACACCATACGATGTTTACCACGGTAATTGGTGGAAGAGTGCATTGATAGCTTAAATTTTGCTGAAGGTAATGGGAGTTTCACATTGAAGGCGAGTATTAAGGTCTCAGACAAAAATACAGTAATATATTATGCTGCATTTTAATCTTAAATTAGGTTTAAGTAAGGAGATTTTCTAGCTTCTATAATTCATCATAAAGCAAAAAAATTTATGTTGTACTATTTATAAGAGGTAAGAATTATACTTCAGTTTAGTCTTGCAATCCTAGATAGGATGTTCTATTATGTGAATCTTCTACTTGTTATACTATATAACCTTGTACAATGCCTTTCCCCAGCATAACTAAAGGAAATTTTATAGAACCTGAATGTGCTGGAATTGCTGTTGTTGTAGGATATTTGACTCTGCTAGCAATAATCTGAATGACCCAAAAGTTCCCAGTACTTCTGAGTTTAAAAACAAGCCTGATGGTTGGGAATCAACGTCCAAATCTGAAGATGGTAATGTATGGGAGATGTCACAGAGAGAAGAGGACATCCTTTTGCAAGAATTTGAGCGTCGAATGGCATTTTGCAAATTTCAGGTTCGCATTTACATTTAGCATTGCATTAATTTATAATATTATTCAATAGCCAAAACTGTTCTCTTTGTTTTCCTTGAGTGTATGGAGTACCGTCTTTTAGGAATAGAAACTGTTGATTTTGAGAGAGATCAATCCGTGCCAATGGTGCAGGTTATGTGATGAACTAATTTTTTTTTTTTTTTTTTTGGGGGGGGGGGGGGGTGGTATGCCCTGTATCCCTGTTGACCCCTTCATATGTAGGCCTATAGTCATAAGAACATGTGAGTTTAGTGTGTGTACTTCCTTCCTTACTATTTTATGGGTTTATTGGTACCATCTCTGAAGGAAACCTCACATGATATAAATGGGAAAGTGGGAATTTTCTATGTATACTAGGTGTATAAGTCTCATGGTCCATACTCCAACTACTTATGACTTTATAAGTGAATTTAGGTGCAATGACTTTTATGCAGCTCAATCAGTTGCATGTCTAATGCCAATGATAAAAACTAGCTTGACCACTTTGCTCATAAAATTTGATGGATGAAGGTGCTATCAAGCCTAAAAAGGTGTGAAAGATAGTTGAAAGATGTACGGTTTTTCACTTTACTGTCTCATTTTACAAGAGGCATCTCCGATTGAACAAGGTTCCGTAATAATCCATGCTTAACTTTATAAACTTAGGTTGAGTGAATTTATATTCTTATTGATTCAGCCCTCTCTCCAAATTTCTGTTCTTCCTACTTTGTATGATTGTATATTATGCCTTAAGATTTATGGTGCCTGTTTGTATTATTTGCAGATAGCAAGTTTTATCAAGACACACATATTCAGCAGGAGAAGACCAATTGATGGGTGGAGATACATGATTGAGGTGATAGGACCTAATGCCAGAAAAGGTAAGGGTAGTGCGTCAAGGTTACCAGGCCTTGCAGATCCTGCAACTCAGCCCTTCACAGAGGATAGAACACCAAGAACTGGTGGCCGTCTCTCCCGTAAGCCCAAATAGTGCCCCTCCAATCTTCATGAAATGGGAGGTTGCCTTGATGACTACAGCTCTGATGTTCAAATTTAAAAGGATCATATGGATGTTTAGGTTCGATTCTTGTGAGTACTAATAGGATCATGCCTTATAGCTATGAAAGCTCACCATCTTCTTCAGTAGTGTCTGCTGGTAGTCCTGAAATTGGGCTTTGTCATTCAGTCAAATGAAACACTCAAGTGATCTTCTCTGCTGGTTGATTTCCACAATGGATGCTTTCATGCTTTCCCTGGCTGTTTATTGGCATGAACGAAGAATTTGTACTGTTTGATCATGTTACCCGAAGGTTCTATTTTTCTGTATTTATGTTTACTGTGTATAATCTAGACACGGAAACTGTATTAGTGTAGTGGCATTTCAAGAGCAATAAAATCATATGTGGTTTATTATCTTCATTTAGCAATATACTGCAATTCGCAGGATAAGAATTAGCCTTGGACTTTGAATGATGATGTTTCTGTTGATATACTTGGCCTTAGATAATGAGGAATGATTATGAGATCTAGGAATGGGAGATCCCTTTGAAGAAAAGGTATCAATGAGATTTTTTGGTGTCACCCATTGAATGTAAATTGCGCTCGGTGGTAAGTTTTAAAGATGTCAAGGGTTTCATTGCGAAAGATAATAGCTTCCTTATAGTAGTGTTTTAAGTGATGTTAAATTTGGAAGTTAAAATTAATATCTTTCCAAATTTATTCATTTGGAGAAAGTGATAGCCCACTCTCCAAATTGATTGGAGTGAATTTGGAGAGGGGCTGAATCAATTTACCCAACTACTACTTAAATTTCAAAAGTTGAGTGAATTTAATATCTTTCCCAAATACTCCAAATGAGGAAATTCAGAAACAAGCAACTTGATCATTTTTCAATTAAAGGAAGGTTCCAAACTACTCTAGTGCAGTTGAGGAAAAGATGATCAAATTTTATACTTTGATGATCGCATAAGGAGCAAATACTTTACAAGAAAATGTTTTTAAACATTATCATTAAAAAAAAAAAAAAAAAAAAAATCCCTCTCATTTTATTCTTATCATTAACTTTTTCCTTTTCTAACTTAAGGACACACCTTCCAGTTTTATTACTAGACTTGTGAAAAGTGTAAGAACTTCTTGTACAATCTGAGTATTAAAAACTTTTTTAAGTGGCTCAATTTTTAATTCTAAATTGAACATAAACTAGAATGTTCGAAATTAAGTGGACATAAACTAGAATGTTCGAAATTATTAACTATAATGTTAGAAATTACTTTATACATAGTAAATTATGTTTACAAGACTTATTGGGCTGAAATGATTTGAGATTTTCCATAAGGTTCTGTTCTCTTTACCATAATTTTGCTGAATTGAAATTATTTTTGCTAAACTTAAATTATTTTTACTGAAATGAAATTAATTCATTAACTAGTAAAACTTATTTTTACTGATCTCTATTATACTTGTTTTTAAAGTCTATTATACTTGTTCATTTTCTTTTTTATTGCAATATTATACTTGTTCATTAAAGTTACTGATTTTAACTATATTGAAATTATTTTGCTAAATCTATTTTTACTGAATTGAACTAATTTTATTTTAAGGTGAAGGGCACAGGGCCCTAAATCTCTATGACATCTTTATGTATACACATTCAATAATCAATATGTATCGACACAAAATCTAGCCGTCTCCTCTCTATTTTTTTTTCTCTCTCTAGGGTTTTTCAAAAAAAGTGTTTCATAGGCCAGAAATTTGGTTATTTCTAACCCTTTCCCTTTAGTTTCTTTATGTTTTTGTTATTGAGTTTAATAAATCTACACTCTTTGAAGGTAGTAAGTACCCCTATAGTGGGTTTGAGTGTAGAAAGTGCCCTTATGGTGGGCTTTGTTTTTGTTTTTTGAGTTTAGTATGGTACAAGTTGTTTCATGAGTAAAATTTGTGCGGGACTGAAAAAGAGTATCCTTTGATTACAATCAGATGAAAATTTTCTTCACTACTACAACAGATCGATAGACCCCCTCGTCGAAAAAGGCTGCAAATCACAACGATATAAAAGAGGGTATGAAGAATATATGATGTGCATAAACGATCGTAGCTCTGCTGAAAGGAAGCTTTTATTTGATTCAAATGTCATGTATTCACTAAATTTAAATCTCTTTGTAGATGTCGTATGACTTTTTATTTATGAATTAATCTTTATTAAAAAAAAAATGTATCGACACAAAATGACTCCGCACAAACCACTATTCGACTAGACCCGATTCGTAACCTACCACAAACGAAACCTACTTGATCATATGGTAAGTTGGTAACACAAATTATGCGATTGATTTCATAGGTTTGGGCTGACCCTAAAAGTCGAAGAAGGATATCACATATTCACAAAACAAGAACAACCCCTCAAAATCCAACAACAGCCCATCATAAACCATTAAACCCTTCTCTCCTTCTCACTTCCGCCGCAGCTTCTGCGCAAACCCAACACCTCGCCGTCGGTGAGCTACCATGGTGCACGTCGTATACTACCGCAACTGTAATTTCTCCTCCCTTTTCCTTTTTTCTGATTTATGTTTTTATTTTTTTCCCATTTTGTTTGAATTTCTTCCATTTTTATCTGTTTATTGTCTCTGTTTTACTCTAGAAATCATCTGGGAATTTTAGATTAATTGATGAAAAACCTTTCAGTATTCGTGATTTTGTAATTTTAATCGATTCTTTGCTAAATTTCGCGCATTTTACTTGATATGAACATCTAGGGTTTATCATGTTAGTTAGGGTGATGGTCTGTTTATGTATATGAAATGTTGCAATTTGGTAGCTTTCAATTATTGTTAGGTTCGTTTAGTTATTCTGTAAATTAGGTTAAAAAAAATTAGTGGGGTTTGTTAAAGTTTGAATTTTTATGCTTAGTTTGAGATTTATGGGACAAATTTAGTATATATGGTTGAATTAGTAGTGATGGTTTTGTGAACTGGGGTGATTTGTAGATGGAAAGACATTTAAGAAGCCTCGTCGTCCTTATGAAAAGGAACGATTGGATGCTGAATTGAAGCTTGTAGGAGAGTATGGGCTTCGAAACAAGAGGGAGCTCTGGAGGGTTCAATATGTTTTGAGCCGTATCCGTAATGCTGCAAGGCATCTTCTTACCCTAGATGAGAAGAACCCTCGTCGTATCTTTGAGGGAGAAGCTCTTCTGAGGAGAATGAATAGGTATGGGCTTTTGGATGAAGGACAGAACAAGCTCGATTACGTGTTGGCTCTGACCGTTGAGAACTTCTTGGAGAGGCGTCTTCAGACCCTTGTCTTCAAGTCTGGTATGGCCAAGTCTATTCACCATGCTAGGGTGCTCATCAGGCAAAGGCATATTAGGTATTTTATTAAACCCTTGTTTACATTTTTGTTGCAATTGAGGTTTGCCTGCTGCATTGTGATACTTGATGTTTTGAATATTTGATATTCTGAAGATGTTAAGTGTGGATTTCTCTCTGTTTTCATTATTGCTACGTATTGCTCATATACAAGTTTCATGAGTAACAATTTTGTCACAGGAATGAGAATGGTGAGCCTTCTGATAAGTTGATGTTGTAGTGTTGGAAACATATGATATTGCTTAAACAAGTCTATGGTTTTGTAGTATATCATTTTATCCATTCATCTTGAGATATATGGCTTCTGATTGAGTTAGTTGATGGTGATGTGAATTTGATCCTTTTCAAGCTGTATGAAAATGTTACTACCGTCTAAAGTGGTCTGTATTGATCGAATTAGCTTTTGATATTCAGTCTTTTGGCTGGAGCTGGTGAATTTGTTAACTTTCATGGGGAGTAATGTGGCCAAATGGCTGATGTTATTCTTGTTAAATATATTGATTGTGAAAAGGAACTGTTGCTGGGAAGGAGAAATAATATTTAGCAACCATGATTTCAATCTCATGTGATTGCAATGTTGATTGTGTGCACTAATGGTTGTGCACTGGGATTTATGAACCAGCTGTGCTGCCACACTTTGCTGTTGAGGAATCGTGTTTTATGTGTGGGTTTATTTGGTTTTGTGATTGAGAAAGCAGAATTGAGGTCGTCTTTTAGGATTGGTTCAATAAATATCCTAGACAGACTTTGCTAGGGTGCTCATCAGGCAGTGGCATAGTAGGTAAACAGATTTTGCTCATCACATTAACAATTCACTTATGTTGGTTTGTGAACAGTGTTTCCATGTATCCATGAACACATTAATTAAAGCTATTTATGTTTATTTTGGCTGGTATTAAGCATATTTGTAAGTTATCTCTTTGCTTGTAATCATATTGGCTACATACTTTCTCAACATAGCTGGCTATGTCTCAATTCTATTGTATTGGATTTCCATCGCAAGGACTTCTTTTCATTATCAAATGGCTGTCGTTATGTAGTTTTTTCTGAATCCATTGTTTTCTGTACCTGTTCTTGTGTGAGACAGTACTTCTAAGGAGGTCAAACTAGTTGTCTGTTTATAACTATCTTTGCCTAAGCTTCTTGTGTGAGACAGTCTACTTCTAGGAGGTCAAACAAGTAGTTGTCTGTTTATAACTATCTTTGCCTAAGCTTCTCAGCTCAATGTGAGTCATGCCTCCCAAGAGCCTTTAATGTGTGTCATTACCATTCATGTTGATGCCTCTTTTGATTTTAAGACGTTATGAAGAGAGGCTTTAGAATGTACATAGCTCTCTTGCTGTTAGATTTTCACCTTGATTGATGGAGGGTAAGGAAGGGAAGGGAAATGGAGTGATAGAGTATCTTCCATTTGGATAACAAATGAGGAAGAAAGGGAATTGGAGGGGAGAGAAATGGAGGGATTACATTGTAAGAAATTGATCTCTCCAATAAAGGAGAGATTTGGAAGGAAACCTCATCAATTTCCCCTCCCCACCCCTTCCCCTCCCCCTCCCTCCCCTTCTTTTCCTTCCCCTTTTTTCATCCAAAAGCACTGTGAATGTCATATATAGTCTGTTGCTTGAGCAATGTGATTGTTTTTTGCTTGATAAAGTTATCTGATCCGCGTGTGATATTTTGATGTTAGGGTTGGGAGACAGGTGGTTAATGTTCCCTCTTTCATGGTGAGGGTTGACTCTCAGAAGCACATTGACTTTTCTCTCACTAGCCCCTTCGGAGGAGGCCGCCCAGGTAGAGTGAAGCGAAAGAACCAGAAGGCAGCAGCAAAGAAGGCAGCTGGTGGTGATGGTGACGATGAAGATGAAGAGTGAGCTATATACCCAGTCCTTGGTAGTTTGTAGGCTTAAGATCCTTTGTTAGCACCTCTATTGAATACTGAAATATGGCACTATTTTTCCTAAGAGATCCTTCAATTTTTATGTTTCAGTTTATTGGTTTTGTTCCTTCACAATTTAGAAAGTTTTTGAGTTCTTTTTGTTGTGGTTAAACTATTCGAATATGACAATGTGTTCATTGCGTTCTTATGGATCCAATTGATCACCTTTATTAACTTATCCATAGCAATATAGCATCATGTTCTGTATTTTTTCTTCCATTGACATTGCTCTTAATGCCTAGCTTATCTTTCTTCTGCCTACCGCAATGGTGCTGCTTGCCTCATCCCTAGTAAGTCGTAATAGAGCATGATTGAGATATCCATAAATGTTAAAATGGATATGTTGCTGTGCATTTTTTTTTTTTTTTTTTTTTTTTTAAATGGTGATGGATATGAACTGTTTCTGATACATGCAAATGAAGACTGGTTGCAAATTTAAACATCATTCTGTGGTTCTGCCATTAGGATGCAAATCTGGACTTGTGATTCTGGTTGTCTGAGCTCATAATCCAGCATAAGCAAAACGGAACAGTGGAGGCATAAACCTGAATAAAGTAGACAGATAACTGAGGGCCATTGGATGATTTTGTGATTGAACTCGAATCACAGGATGTAGATGATCTTTCATTGCTTAGAGTGTACAGTCTGAGTTAAAACACCAAATCCAGTAGATTGTACCACCAAATCGTCATAATATTGGAACTTACTATCAATGCAAGGGACTAGGGAGCCAGGAGCCATGTAAAAGGATGGGAACTTTCAAATAAATGCGCTGTTGGCGCGAAAGCCCACACTACTCAACGCTTGCAGCTCTAGCCTGATAGCGGGGATAATGCGACAGAAATTATCATGGGCTTAACCAAACTATAACCAAAAGGGGTCTTTTTGCTTCCTTTGATTTACCTCTCTCCCCCTTTGCCTGCCTTATTAGAATCAATAATTCAATATTAGTTCTTCCTTCTGGCTTAAACCCTGAGAAGTACAGTTCACTCCGATGCTGCTATGCATGACAAAGAATCACTATAGAAATGCTAGCAATACAATCATTCTTCCACGTCATATATATTAGCTAGCACATTTCATGTAGGCGCGTTTGCTATTGCTTAGTTTCAAATTATATTATCTTCAATTATATATAACCAATATTCATACACTTGATATTTGGAAAATAGACGTTGACACCTTGGCTACCTTGTAATATCTTTTTTTTGTTTTTTCCCTTGAAATTTCACATATACCCACCATGTTCAATCATATGGTTTTCCCCCAAATCCTCCAAAATCTAACATGTATGTTCGAAATTAAGGAAATTTATCCTCGACTTTGCTTCTAATTGAAAATATTCTAATCACCTTGATCTTAATCTCCCTTCAAATAAACGCCAAGGCTATAATTGAATACATTCCTCTACTCTTGCTTGATGTTGAGTTGTTGACAATACACACTAACCATTCCACCGCGCCTTTGAAGATCAGTGCTTTGCAAGATGCTTTTTGAAGCGTTATTGTTATGCCTTACATGAGTTACATCTACTAGCCTTTCCTTTGAGTTTTTTTCGTGGATGGCTTTCGTGCTATTAGTCTTAACCTGAGATAGGGACACCTTTAGACTTGGCGTACCTTTTCTGTAAAAATATTAAGCAAGAACATTATCCACAACTAAATTGCAATAATTAATTAAGCAATGTACCTAGTCAAAATAATGCAACTATTAAGAAACGAAAGAAATAGTTAAGAAGCTTTTGTAGGCTTGTCAAGGATTGTTCCACAGTTTATATCCGGTTGCATAGCCTACTTAAGGAGTTCACGAGATCGTGGAGTAAGCATATCTGAGAGCATGTGTGCATTAGTAAGAGCGCAAGGCCACAAGCCACAACGAACTGATTGCTCGTGTAATTCATGGTACTTGCTTTACATGAACAAGTTCCTCCTTTGTCATCATTAAAACTCGTAAATTACGAGTAGCTACGTTCTTATGTCCGAAAATGACTCAATGCTACGGTGCTACCTTCATACGTTCTTGCGTACAACTAATATCCAAATTTTTCCCTTTTTTTTTGTTTTTTTTTTGTGTTCCACCCACTTCACCCTTTGGGCTAATCTGGATTCGGATCATTTCTGGGTGATTAGGTTCTCGTCCCCTCCCAATTGTTGTTGCGGGAGATCGAACACGGGATTCTCCATACCAACTGCAGTCTCAATCACCATTACACCAACAACCAATTGGTCAAAAATTTTCCTTTGTTGTTCTTTTTGTTTAGACAAAAAAAAATCCATGTTATTAATTGTTTATTAATTATTTTTTACCTTAGATGAAGCACACATTGTGTTCTGCCCCTATAGCTCAGTGGTAGAGCGTCAGTCTTGTAAACTGAAGGTCTGTAGTTCGATCCTGCATGGGGGCATTCATTTTATATTTTACAGAAATGTCTTTTTTTTTTTGGCTATTTAATTTGCATATATGCATAATTAATACAGTAAATGTTATTCCTGTTTAACTGTTTTGTTGTGTTGGTGAAATGCATGAAATCCTAAAGTATATCAAATCAATCTATGAATTTCTTTCATTAATAATCCTAAATTAATATCTATGATGTCAAATTTGAAAGTTCCTACACGACCAAAACTAGAATTTTTCTAGTCGACAAAAATAAATCTTACCCGTATTCAATTTGATTAACAAATTTACTGTAATACATGGATTTATTTATATGTTAGTCGGTTATAGATTAGTTTTAGAAACAATGTTATTGGTTAATGATATATACCAGTCGTCCATTTGTGTTATTTTGTCCATTTATATTGAATATAAATTATTTTTAATAAAATCTTAGTTAGCTTTATGGTAATTACTTATTCATTTTCTTAGAAAGATATGAAGCAACCCGTTTAAAAGTGCTTCATGAGCCACATTACATATGAAAATGATGTGTTCTCATAATCCCATGTCATTGTCATCCAAGTTGATGGCATCACATATCAATTAGATGATATTTTCAAGCATATTGTGTAGACCATAATCTTTCACTATAAATTGTCACTTGGAGCCACATCTTTTTTTAGAAAACAAATGATTTGGCACTATATCATTATTAGATGGAGAGGCCAAATGGCAGATAATTGTAAAGATGTGAAATATCATTAATATATTGTGAATAATAATAATAATAATAATAATAATAATCTCTCCATTGACGAAAAAAATAGATTATGAAGTCTAGATCCAGGCTAGCGAGGGACCATAAAATTATGTTATATTCGAAATTGATGTAGTGATGCTATCTAGTTTAATTGATAAAGTCTATAAGATATATTTAAAGTCTTGTTTAAATTTCGTCTACATCAGCATGTACTCTTAGCTTGTTGCTTTTATTAGACGATAATATGTTCGTCTTGAGTCATATACATATTCTAAAATGTTAACAGGCCTTTATTGCAAACCCTTTTGGAATTTGAATCCAACAAGTGGTATGAATGGTCCTTAACATTTCAGTACAAAATGGACCACAGGTCCACAAATACAAGAGCCCACCATGAACATGTTACACATTATGGAGCAAATTTTGTTCCTTTTTTTGGTGGGAATATTAATTAATACTTGTATTATTGATGAGATTGGTGGGTGGTAAATTCCAAAATGATAACGTTATTTATTTCGATACCCCCAAAAAATGACAGTTTCCTCTTTTCCCTTAGTTATTTTGTCCTAAACGTCACATACTAAATTAGCAAGCTAGGTAACAAGTCTTATTCCATGCTCTAAGCATCTAATACAAAAGAAATTATCTGAACATCAAGCTAATTAGTGATGGCTACATGGACATATATATACTTACAAAGATTAAGGGTATATTTCATTCATTTTGACTCGAAAATTTAATAATTAATTCGTATAAAATCCAATCAAATTTTATAATATAATGTTTTTCCGCTTTCATTTTTCTATTATAACTTGTTCATGTGGGATGTATGAGTTAGATATACCATGGATACCGTCCCCATAGAAGATTGAGATTATGCTTAAAAAGACTGAACTAAACGAAGGGCTATCACATATTACCAAAAAAAAATAAGCAAAGGAAATATGGCATTTGATCCAAAAGATGGACCAAATTATAATATGGCCTAATAAATTGCTACGTACGCAGCTTTGCTATAAACCTAATGCAGCCTAAACTTATCTATAACTACTAGTGTAATTGTCATTATTCATAATAAAATGATGATGGTGATGATAATTGACGCAAAAACGAACGACACTAATGTTTTAGTGACAAAATGAGTAGTAGCCTAAAACAAGATTGAATAAAACCTTCTTAGACTCATGCATGAAAGTAAAGAGACGGCAAACAAATCGTTCAGTTCATATTTAGTTTATATTAATATTATTGAAGTAGGTTATCTTCTTGTAATGAGTAAATCTTTTTCTATTAATTATTGGATGTTGGCCCAGGTCAAATTCAAGTCTTTTATCAGTCAACTTAATTAGTTACTAATTATGATAAATAAATCAATGTTGGACCTATTGGTCATCTCGACGTACTAGCTCTAGTGGGGTCAAGTCAAACTTGAAACATAATACTTATAGTGGTGGACTAGTTTGGGTATGTAGTAATTAGTTTATTACCAATCAAAATTGTGTTGTCTAAATCTTTTACCAATGGCATAGCCTATAACAACAAATTTTAAACTATTTTTTTAAATTATTATATACATCTAGATGCACCATTACCCAAGATTATATATTTTTTGCTTATTTTAATGATTAAATTATCAAAAATTACCGCACCTTGCACCCATTGTATATAGGAGTCACTCATTCGATCATTTCTTGCATGTATATATGCTCTGAAATTAATTAAAGTACCATTGATGAGTGATGTATTCCTTAGCTTGTTTGAACTTTGAAGGATCCCAAAAAGAAAAGCAAAAGAATAATAAGTACATCTATCATGGTCAAAATATGCATTAAATTTTGAAGGAGAAACGCGAATATTTGTGTACATGCAAGTAAATGAAAAAGTGACGAGATTATAAGCATTCTTTTATTGAAGATAACTTATTCCTTAGCTTTACACAACCCTAAAATAGTCGTAACTTGTGAAAAAATAGGTTTTGTACTAGTTGATGCAAAGTCGTTGGGAAATAGCATCATCTTTAATTTCCCACTTTCTTTTGGATTAATATAGTGTCATGATCTAATTGAAGTGTGCATGAG